AAAAAAAAAAAAAAAAAAAAAAAAAAAAAAAAAAAAAAAAAAAAAAAAAAAAAATCAGAAAAATACATTTAAAAAAAAAAAGTAATAATAAGAGTACTGGTAGAATTGTATACATATCCTAGACTATTTTTAAAAAATGCAAACGACAAACTAAAAAAAAAAACAGGTCTTGTAGTGTGTCAAAGAAAAATTCGTAGCATTTTTAATTTTAAAAAAATTAACAAAAATTTTGGAAAGTATACTTATAACAGATTACATTTAAAAAAGGCAAGAGACATGGTAAAAATTATAATTTTCTCTACTTTGCAATAATGGCAAATTTTATTGCAATGTACAGTGCCCCCCCCCCCAAAAAAAAACGGACCAACCAGAATAACTTTTGATCTAAAGATGAGATTTTCACGTTCTAGGACTCAAACTTAATGGTTCGAAGGGGGTGACCACGAATATGCTAGTTAATCAGTGCAGACGATAATTTAAGTTATGAAATGAAATACAAAAACCTACTTTCTCTGAATAAACATTCCTTTTACTTTAACGGATTTGGATTCCTGACCCCAAAAATATAGGGAGTAGCCGCAATCTCGGAAATATGGTTCCCATAGTTTGATCAGGCAACCGATGCAAAGTTTGGACCCCTTAATGTTAATTTTACTTTTTGCGCATTACGGCATATCTCGAGAAATTTTTATTGAAAGATTTTAAAGAAGTCTAATATTTAAATTTCGATTTTTTCAGCAAATGTTGATTTCGCCAAATTTTGAGTTTTGCCATGTAAAATTACATATTTTAAAATGACGTAAAAATGTTATAACCTTCAATTCTAAATTTTTTCGACAGTTACTAAATAAAATAATAAATATTTACTAAAATTCATTTTTAATATGGAATCATCTTTGGAAAAACTAATTTTAAAGTGCACAAATTTTTCGAGAATTAAAAATATATAGATAGGATGAAATACGCATAAAGTAAAATTAGCATTAGGGGGTCCAAACTTAGGATCGCTCTTCTAACCAAACTATGGGGACCCTATTTTCCAGATTACGGCTAGCCGCAATATCTTAGGAAACAGAAATCCGTTGAAAAAAAGGTATGTTTATTCAGAGAAAATACGTTTTTGTGTCTGATTTCCTAACTTAAAATATCGTCTGCATTAATTAATTAGCATATTTGAGGTCATTCTCTCAGACCATTAGGATTGATTCATAGAACGTAAAGATCCAATCATTTGATAAAAAGTTTTTCAGGGTGATCCGATTTTTGGAGCACTGTACTTATTTAATTACGTATTAATTACTTATTTAATTACGGAAATTAAAAATTTACTATTTTTAATTTCCGAATCACTTTGTTTAGAACAGAAAGTTTTAACAGTTTCCAGCATAATTTTATTAATGGCGAAGTGAACAATTCATAACAGTTTGAGATGAGTAAATGGAAAACTTTTATTGCGCAGTTGTGTTATAAAAAATACCAGTATTTAAGAGTCAATATTCCCTCATGCCAATTTCTAATTAAAATTTGTACCTTCTTAAAATAATTTTAAAGTTTCAATAATCTCGAAACAAAAACACTGTTAAAATATTGCTCAACATTTTTGCATGTACAAAAGATGATCCCTCAATTCACCCCTTAAAACACTCACATGATTGTTGATTGAAATCAATCATTTTTAAAAATATTTTGCGAATAATTCCTTTTTAGAACAAAATATTTTGAGAGTGGTCCGTTTAAAGTGGATGTAAAAGAATGAACACCATACAAACACATNAAGTAACGAAGTACAAGTAAAAGTACGTACTTTTTACTTGTACCGGCGGTACAAGTAACGAAAGTAAAAGTACTGCCATATATGGTAATATGATCATTGAAGGATTTCCATAGGACTCAATCTTTCAATAGGACTCAATGTTTAAATAGAACTCAATGTTTCAATAGAACTCAATCTTTCATAAAATATGTTCATACTGTTTTACGTTGGATCTGCCAGAGACTTTTAAAAAATATCATTTTAAATACTTGTATCATGTAAGACGTACATTAAATGTTGAAAAAAACCTTCCACGGGACATTTAATTTTTTTAAATTTAAAAACCTTAAAAAAATACTTATAATTTTTGATATAAACGAAAATATTATGGTTTTATATTAAAACTATGTATGGATTTCTTATTAAAAATAGCATAAAATTTTGTTACATACATTTTTGAAAAATTAAATTTAACATATTTTTCAATGATAAATTCAATTGTAGTTCTTTATGCTGTTATTACATTTTTAAGGAATTAAAATGGCAAGCTCTATTTTTTTTAAAAATTCTGTGTCAAAATCACAAATTTTTACTTAATTTTTTTAAAAAAAACACAAAATAAAATGTAGGAAATATATCTATTCAAAATTTTCAGAAATTATTTTAATAGTTTTCAAACGCGGGTTAACACAGCTTCATCTCGCTTTGAATTGAGAAGAAAAATTTTTTTTTTGTATTTTGAGTCGAACAGTAAAAATATTACTTTAAAATTCTAAAGATATTAAAAATTTAAGAATAGAGTTTTTAAGAATGGTTTTTGCCGCACGCTCCTTTTCAAAATTGCACTCAAACCGATATGTATTATAAAAAGATTTTAAAAAAATGAAGAAACATTTCCGTTATTTCAGACTTTTAACATTTTGAATTTTATTCATTTTTCTCAACAACTATTATATTAAAGAAGTGACATTACACTGCAGAAAAGGTTTCCTCAAAATTGAACAAAAACCTGTCAAAATAGGTTCAAAACAAATATAATCGAATTCGAAATTTAAAAAAAAGTCTTTAAAAATTAAAAAAAACAGTCTGGAAGTTTTACTGATAAAAGTTATTTTGAAATGACTGCATTAATAATGTTCAAGAAAATTTGAACTGTTTTGAACATTTTTACCTACATACGTTCATTTATCATTTGAATTTTGTAAACAATAAGTAAAGCATAATATTCTTTTTAGAAATTAAAATTCTATTAATAAAAAAAAATTTGACTAACATAATATCGCATTCATGCAAGTCTTACCGAATAGTTTTCTGTGTTTGTTTCAGAAGGGCGATCATTTTTTAAAAAGAATTTTATTCATTTTTCTCAACAACTATTATATTAAAGAAGTGACATTACACTGCAGAAAAGGTTTCCTCAAAATTGAACAAAAACCTGTCAAAATAGGTTCAAAACAAATATAATCGAATTCGAAATTTAAAAAAAAGTCTTTAAAAATTAAAAAAAACAGTCTGGAAGTTTTACTGATAAAAGTTATTATGAAATGACTGCATTAATAATGTTTAAGAAAATTTGTAAGAACTGTTTTGAACACTTTTACCTATATACGTTCATTTATCATTTGAATTTTGTAAACAATAAGTAAAGCATAATATTCTTTTTAAAAATTAAAATTCTATTAATGAAAAAAAAAATGTGACTAACATAATATCGCATTCATGCAAGTCTTACCGAATAGTTTTCAGTGTTTGTTTCAGAAGGGCGATCATTTTTTTAAAAAGATGTTCTCAGTCTGATAAGAAAAAAAGTTTGCACCGCCTCGTTTACGCAATTTATGTTTTTATAACATTGTATTAAGTTACTTTCTAAATTTTCTTCCTTTAAGTAAACATAGACTGCACTATCTACACCCGTTTCGAAAGTAGTGTTAAATAAAAGAAAAATGTTTTTGAAATAAAAATACAAGTGACGAAAATAGATTTGAATATTGAGAGCGTGTGTTATCAATTCCAGACGGAATAACTTACCTGATAGAGGAGTGGCTTCGAAAAGAAGAGATTTCGATTAAATAAAAATAAAATTTAAAAAAAAAAAAAAGAACAGAGCGCTCGAAACTTGGAAAACTTTTATCCATATCGAAAGGAGGGAAAAAGCAAGCGCTTGATTCCGATTGGATGGAATTGAAGAGTATCCCGTGACGTCATGTCACGTCCCCGGAACGTCATAAATAAGAAGAGGGTGCAGAAGCGGGAAAAGCTTAAAAGCGTGGCGCTAGTGACGATAGGGGACTATACTTTACCCAACTAAATTCAGAACTCTCGTGTCAAAGAGAACGACGATATCGTCTGCCACATGGGAATGATGAAGGAAGAGGAGTAAAAAGCACGTGCTCCCCTCATATTCGCTTTCTTTTTTTAAGTCTCGGACTTTGTAGGGAGGGTGCTCGCTATCCGAAATTATTGTTTTTTTTTAACGCCTCACTATTATCCGGTCCCATGGTTCTCAAACTAGATTCTATGGATCAAGAATTCGAACTGAACTCCTTGGATGAGAACGGAAATTTGAAAAGGAGCCTAGATAGCCTGCATTTAAATGAAAACTTCAATTGTTGCGGGGAGCCGAAAGTGACGCTAGAGCAACATTTACAGCACCATGCAAACGCTGGCATACTTCAATATCCTGGCGTTGAGGTGATATGTCCCACCGACGGCTCTTTGCCAGGAGGGGTGGGGCGGAGGGCGGTTGTACTCGCTGGTAGCGCTCAAGGATTCTCTCCAGATTATCACCATCCCAACTTTCCGCCTTCGCCTCCGCCGTCTGTTTCTGCCGCCATCCCATCCGACAGTCCTGCCGCCATGCACCCGGACGGCCGAACCACCAACCTGTTGGACGAGACCATGATGTGGTCATTGGTCTCACAACCTCTGGACCTCCGAAATTCGGACATGAGCGAAATGGAAAACTGGATCATCCGGAGAAACTGTACCGAAATGATGGGACAGGCTCTGGACGAGCAACAGAACGCTCTGCAGCAGCAGCAGCAACAACAACACATCCAAAAGCAACAAGTGGCCTGCATGACTGGATACGGGGTCAATCTCGAATCCGTTCCGGCCTCTTCGTCGTCCGGTAGTTTTTCGGACGACTGTGACTCGCTGACAGACATGCCGTCCCCGTCGTCCTACCATCAGGACGTGACGTCGTCCAGTGGTAAGAAGATGGACATCACGATGGAGCGGAACTTGGGAATCACCGATGACCAGCTGATCCAGTTGTCCGTTAGAGACCTTAACCGGAAACTCCACGGTTTGTCTCGTGATTATATATCCGGGGTGAAACAGAGGAGGCGAACTCTCAAAAACAGAGGTTACGCTCAAAATTGTCGCACAAAAAGAATCGAGCAGAAGAGGAGACTGGAGACCAACAACAAATCCCTCCAGATGGAGAGAGACAAGCTCTTCAGAGAGAGGGAATTAGAGAGGCAGGAAAAAGAGAGAGCATACCAAGAGAGAGACAGGGCTGTGCAAGAGAGAGACTATTACAAAGAACAGTTAAAACAACTCATGCGATCCAGGGAATTCTCACAACAAAACAATACAAGTCCGACGTCGCCAGACTATTATATGTGACACCCATACCACGAAAAATGACTGTAAATAGAAGGTAAGTCTGTTTTTACAAAAGTTTTCCAAGGCCTGGGATTAGGGTTTCAGGTTAAATTAAACTTGTGAGTCACAGTACAAAAATGAGGTTAAATAAAGTGATATAAATAACGAGATGACGGATGTATAAATATGTAAAACTAAAATGTAAATTTCTAACTACAATTAATCTGTATTGTAATAATTTTAAATAGTGTAAATTGCTACAATTTTACCTGAGAGCCCAAGTTCAACTTTATCAGACCATTATATGTACTTATCCCACGAAAAATAGATTTAAGTTGTGTTTTTTTTTTATCCAAGGCTTAAGATTAGGGTTGAGGGTAAAATTAAACTAGTGAGTCACATTACACAGGGTGCGTAACATTTTTAAAAAGTGATTAAAGCTGCTTATTTTTTTATTTACTTTTTTTCCTTAAAGGTGCTTGTTTTTGTTCGGGGTATGTAAAAAGTGCTTAATTTTCTATCGTTTCAAAAGAGATTTTTTTCTTTGCCGTATCGATTGCTTTAAATTACAAAAAAAAATTCACGATTTTCGCAATTTTCTCTGCAATAAATATCAGAAACTAGTTATTTTATCATGATTATTTAAAGCTTTGAAAAGGTTATTAAATTTAATTGATTCTATGTTTATAAAAGAATTTAAACGATAAGAAAATTTTTTATTACTGCACAGATCCTATACGATTTTGTTTTGGAAAGTGATCAAAAATATTTTTTGAGAGCTTAAAAAGTACTTAAAAGGTGCTTATTTTTTTGAAGAATCTAGCTACGCACCCTTTTACAAAACAAGGTTTAATAAAGTGATATAAATAACTAATGAAATGGTTTAACGAATTTATAAATATGTAATACTGAAAAGTAAATTTCTAACTACAGTTGATCTGTACTGTAGTAATATTAAAATTTTGAATAGTGTAAATCGTTTCAATTTCAAAATGTAATCAAATTAATTCAGCCCCTGAATTAAATTTATTTTATATTAATCGATCATTATTAATCGAGTCTTGTGATTGATGGAATCTTAGTCACTTCGTAAACGCCGCAATGGCAGTTTTTATTTGATTTTTAGATAGGTCTCAACAATACTTGTCACGATTTCTTTTTTAAAAGAAAATATAGATTTATATGATTGAAAAACAATTTAGATTTTTTGCCATGTTTTGTAATAAATTAGAATATTTTTATCGTGAAATTTAAGAGTTTCTAACATTTTCTTATATATTGTTACATTAGTACATGTTCTATTCAGAAAAACTCTCCGCGAACTCTAAATATCAATTAAAAAACTCTCTGCAACCTATTTTTTGTATTGACTCTTGTAACTAGTTTCAACCCTTTTATTGCCTCCTTATGTGGCCGAAATATGTTCGATAATCACCTTTAAGACAATTTTAATTTTAAAAAAAACCCATATTGAATATTATAGACGCGTCAGCTTATATTTCTTTTATCAGTTTCATGAAGATATTATTATAAAACGACTTATTCATTTACATAATTTTCCCTAATGTTAACTTTCTTTGCATATTCTTTCTTTTCAAATATAAATGTTTCTCAGAAATATTTAAATGTAAACACATTTATCAAATATTTTTATAAAAATCTCTTTTTAATTCTTCTACATTTAAATATTCTTGCTTTCTAGAGCTAAATCATTTTGCATATACAATAATAGTACAAAAATTAGATTATGTTAATTTTACATAATAGGGCAAAAATAAAGAGTATTAAGACTGAATTATTTCAAAATATTTCAGGAAAACACTATAATTAAATTATAAACTTGATGTTACTATCGAAGAAAAAGAGTGATCTATATTTTCATGTAACGTCATATCTTAATTTTTTAAAAATAATGAGTAATAAATACTAAGGGAATTTTCCGAAAACTACGATCACGCGGTCGTGTATGTTATGCATATACCTACGTCTACTTTGTTTCTTAAATATTCTACTTGTTATTAAAATGTTTTTTAAAAGTTATCTTTTCTTCCCTTATGGAATAATAATCTATACAATATAAAATCTGAAAGGTTTTTTTAGATATTTAGTTTAATATAGTGTAATTAATAATATTTAATCATTAATGTATAATATGTAATTAATAATATGTATTAATTAATAATTTATATAATAAAGTATCAAAACTAGTTTAGTGTTTTGCGATTTATGTTATCTTTATCCGTATATGCTTGAAAGAGTAGGTTGCTAGTTAATCAAGTATTAATTACAATATCTTGTAGACTTACACGTATGTAAATCAAAATTAGTATCTAACTTTCCATTTATCTCATGCGATTATAAAAACATCACTCCGATTTAAATTTATTTAGAAATAATCCTATGATATTTTAGCATACATTAGAGCTAATTTTTTATTAAGACTTGATTTGATATATCTTTGAGTTGTTATTTTAACGATAGTAACACGTTTTACAAACACTGTTTACTTTAGTTGGATCATTCTTTTCAGTAAAAATCTAACATTTTGGCTACATTTAAATACAAATTCAATCGATGTGATTTGCCGCTGAATTTAAAAAGTCGTGTTTTTTGCACTTAGATTTGAAGTTACCCAGATATTCCTGAAAAAAATTTCTGGTTCCTGATTTTTAATCTTATGTTCTGATATTCCTGATTTTTATATAGCTGTAACTTGATATATTTTAAAACTGTTATTTTATGATACTAATGCGTTATAAAAACACGGTTTGTGTTAGTTGGAGTATTTTTTCGGTAAAAATCTAACATTTAGGATACATTTATTGACGAAATCAACCTATGTGTATTGGCGCTGAATTTAAAGTAGGGCTTTATGCACCAAGATATCCTGATATTCCTGGGGTGTTTTTCTTTCTTTTTTTCCTTTTTTTTTTTTATGAAAGAGTTTCTGGTTCTTGATTTTTAGAGTAATGCCCTGATACTCCTGATTTTTTTGAAGCTGTAATTTGACATACTTTAAAACTGTTATTTTATTTGGACTATTTTTTCATCAAAAATCCAACATTTTGGCTACATTTAATAACCAATTCAATCTATGTGCATCGCTACTGAATTTAAAGTCCTGTTTTATGCACCAATGTTCGTTGTTGTTGCCCTGGTGTTCCTGTTTTTGTATTTAAAAAAAACTGGTTCCTGATTTGTGTGTTCTGACCTGATAAACCTGATTTTTTTTGTTTGTGTGTGTTTGCTAAGGACATACTGTGTGAACCAGTGTTTCCTAAAGTGTGGTACGCATACCCCCAGTGGTACGGGGGAACAGTTATACGCGGTCTTATGCGAAATATCTTGCAACAAACGAACATTTCAAAAAAATTGACTTAACAACAAGGCTAGCCATGAAAATTTACGTTTACGTATTTTTCTATTGGCTATTTTTTGCAGAGTTAGCAGTTAAAAATGAGTGGTGTCAACAGCCAGTTGTGATTTTTAACTTTTGTGCAATTTTTTTTACTGTAAAATATACATTCATTTTTTTATGAGTGGCACACAGAGTTACGAAAAATTGAGAAAGGGTACACAAAAGTCATAACTTCGGGAAACACTGGTAAACGAACACACTATTTTACAGTAATCATTTGGGCTTTTTTTTTTTAAAATTTCATTTACTGGATAAGAAATAATAACTTTTCCTCGAAAGAATAAATTATTGCTGAATCAGTTCGGAAAAAAAATTCTTAATTAACCTTACCCTTTTTTTTAACAGAATTTATTTCTATTTTTGTTATTTTCACACCCCTTCTCATCATAAGTCAGTAAATAGAACTTATGCTCTCCAAAATGTGTTTAATATAAAAAGTTAAATACTGCGTTAATTAGCGCTCTTATTCTAGAAAATAGTGTAACTTTGTAAATTTATTATCTGTTATAAATTAACTACTAATTTGTACCTAAAATGATCTGTAATAATTGAAGTTGTTTAAGGGGCTCAGCATAGTGAGTTATTTTCGTTTCTTTGCAGACGTTTTCTAACAGACGGAATCTTTTTTTTTTTTCTTCCTTTCTTTTCTTTTCTAAGAGAAGAGGGTGCCACACTTCCTTCTGAGTGAAGGAAACTTTTTTTCCCTTAATGTCTTTAATTTTGCATATTTTTTTGTTTGAAATAAAAATAAACCACAGTTTTCTCTTAAAGTTTTCATTACCTAAAAATATAAAGTAATAAAATCCTTATTTTTTTACGTTTAATGTAATTTTAATTTAACAAGTTATGAAAACAGTCTTGAAATTCGGAGGTAAATTCACTAACTTTGGTTGCCTAGTTTTGATACACATGTAAAAATTCGTTTATCATCTTATCATTTTATTTCAAAATGATAAGCCTTAATAATTGATAAACATTTCAAAAATATGATAGTTAAAATTTAGGGACCGTTCACTAATTACTCATCGTTCAGTCTTAAAATCTTGTTTCAGTCGTTTGATCAAATTATAAAATAAAAAAAAGAATCTCAGCTTTTTTGCGGTCGGAATGTTTTGTTTTTCTAAATCTGTCTGATTGTTAATTGGAGAATGATGTCAAAGATAAACTCATTAACATTATTGAATAATTCATTTTTTTTGCTCATGTCCATCTAATTGCAGTGAAAGCATTATTTTTCATTCCATTTCCTTTATTGAAATTTCGTTAGCACTTTTAAATGTCCCTTGATTATGAGTAATAAATTATCTTCTCAGTTTTTTATTTTTATTTTTGCGATTTTATTTCCATATCTTGATGCATTACGTTTTCTTATTTTTTTATTTTTGTATGCATTTATTCTACAGTATGTAGAGTTTTATAACTGTAGTTGAACAGGCGCCCAATTTTGGGTTAACAGGACTGTTAGTGGACGGGACTATTGGATCTATTAGTGATAAACTCCGTTGCCTTGTAATTTTGAACCCAGTCTCGAAGACAAGGGAACTCCTGGATCAAGTATTGGAAGAAATTTGCCTTCGTGGAGGACTTTTTGATGGAAACTAACCCGCAATTGCGTTACATAGATAGGAAGACCACGA